CATAATGGAACTGGTTACACCCCCTTTGAACTAGTTTATGGACGAATCGCTCGTTTCCCCATGAAGATATATAGGGAGGAAAAATTAGGGACCTATAACCAATACCTACGCGATCTAGTCTTACGTTTGACAGAACTAAAGATAGCGGCGGGTGATAATCAAATTCGTGAAAAGGAAAAATCTAAAGACCAGTATGATAAACACGCTATACCCTTTAAAGGGAAAGTCGGTGATTACGCCTGGATACTAAACGAACCTCGGGTAGGAAAAGCCCATAGTAATTATAGAAAACCTCTAAAAATCGTTGAAATTTTGAATCATAAGAACGTTTTATCAAAGTTACCCAATGGAAAAACAATACGGAAGCATATGGATAAACTTAAACTTCAGGCGTAGCTATATAAGTACAATTACTCACTTATCTTATCTGTTCTATATCCTTCGTCTATACTATTTATTTTGTTCTGTTCTTTCAGGTACTATTTCTTTTAATATATTTCCTTTCATTTAATATGTGTCTTATCTTACATTCCTTTCTCTCCGTATTCACATTATCTGTTATGGACTCCCAAGCTTATTCTATAGAGAAGTTAGACAACAAGCCAGGAATTTACTACGAAAAAATAGATCCAATGAGAATAAAGAGGGCGGATTGGAAAATATACATATCTATCAACTTCAATTTGTTCTTGGCGAAGACCACTGCTATAATTGACCTACAGTCACTACTGCAAAATTGTACTGGGCATCTCAATGAGGAAACTTGCGGTAATATAATCGGCATGGATCACGTTGATCTGAAGACAATCGCTCTTGAACAAATAGGAATGAAGATTCAAGGAGCTATTGAAAACATGGGACATATTCAGCCACCCGATGTCCAAGGACCTAAAAATATCAGGCCGAAAAGATTGGTACCTTTTGGAGGCATAGGAAGACTGAGTCATAGTTAATTTGGATTAGTGACCATTGACGAAACTGATAAAATAGACGCAAACATCGATCAATTACACCGAAACCTAACCTCCAAAATCGACACGACAATACTCTTGCACTGCAAACCCAAATCGCAGAATTAACTTAATGACTACTAACATACTTATATGACCGACTCACGATCTGTTTCAGAAAAAAAAGAGAAGAAAACACGACATGAGTGAAATAACCAGTAATACGGTACAGGATTCTAAAAGTATAAAAATTCTTTACCCTGACCACCTGCTATTAAATAAACTTCTACGCAGATTGGAACAGATCGGACCAGTTCAGGAGTTTCATGCACTGAAAAAAATGGCCAATAGCAGCGTAAAAATTGTGTTATGTAAATTCGATCAAATCGAACATGCTAGAATAGCTAGGAGGACTAAATCATGGACCCCTGACCCTATAACTAAACATTCATCGCGTATGAAAGAACCAGAGTCTTTAGGAAATCTTCACCAAGACCAACTGATAACGCACGCTTATTCTGCAGACTACCGTGGATTATCGAAGAAAATCAAAGAGAAGTGGCCTTTTTCGAGCATTTCGTAGAATTCGGACCCTTGCAATATCACAAGGTATTGAAAGATTCGAGAGGATCATTGGCCTTGGGATACGTCCAATACTACGATGCAGCTGACGCTAACAGGGCAGTAGAAAGGTGTGATCCAATATATGGCGCAGAATTCGCACAGGTACGGAAACGACGTTGGAATCGGGATCATGAACCCAAACATCACTGGTTATGTGATGAACAAATAGAGCTTACGATTTACGAAGACCATGATAGGACTTGGATATAGGGTTCTTATGCCCGCCTTGAAAGGGAAAAGGCCCAACTTGACAACATCTGAATCAAATGAATCTCGTTATGTTATAAAATTGAGATGGGTAGTAGAGGCCGTTCACGGTATTCTCGGGAAAAAATATAAACTTCTCTACCAGCAGTTGGATAACAAGCTTCTACCAAAAGCTGGCGCATATTGTAGGGTCGCTTGTTTTCTCAACAACCGTTTTGGAAAGCGTTTGAACAGCGATAAAGATGAAGATGGGTTGCAAGACATAATTATTGAAAGAATGTTGAAATGTAATCAAGATGAAAATACTTTGGCATCAGAAGTTGCGACAGCCAGATGGTCTACACGATCTACTACTATGACTAAACTAACGTCAAATGAATATACTATCTCAGTAATGCTAGATATCAATCGAAAATTATTAGACCAGCAAAAATTCTTTTTGATTTGTTTTCCTCCATAGATATTGATCCAGTTATAAATGAAGATAGTGATAAAGATTAAGAATAATATTGTAATTAAAATTGATAATGTTAAAGTTCTTGTAAATTTTAATTGATATGGATTTATCACATTTACGTTGACAATACATTTCATGAACAAATTGAATGCACATATTTATATTTTTTATAAACATTATTCTAATTTCTACTATAATTATATACTTACTTACTCAAGGATATTATTTCATTATAATAATTAATAATTTCAAAATGATACGGAGTTTTTCTGTACTTGAAGTTGGCTGAATAGGCTCTTTGCAGTTCCAGGGAAGTAATATTTGACTTTATGAATTTTTAGGAGTTGGAAAGTTTTTCTAAACTACTTTTTGGTATTCTTGCATACAGAAAAAGAGTCCTGGAGTATTTTTAGGTGTTTTGATACCTAGTGAAGTATCTAATTTTGAGGTTATGTGCTAAAAACATGAGAAAAACGCGGAAAATAACGGTTTTTTTCAGTTTTTGAGCATGTTCCGGTCAAAATATGATAATTTGAATAAATGCATTCGAAAGTACGGGAAAAAATACATAAAAAATGATTATGTAGATGTTAGCCAAATATAACCTTCATAACCTAAAAAATCATTGAAATTTGAATAATTTTTTCTGACTTCGATTTTTATCCAAAAAATCTGAAAAAAATCAGACTATTTTGTAGTGAAAAATTTAATATCCATAAATTTTTTCAGAATGTTTGGAGCAAACAGTAAATCAGGAGAAATTATTTTCACAAAAACCCGTTTTTTACGATTATGGCACTCTATTGCCACCTAGGGGTCTGAAAATTTAGGTGAGAGAGCCTCCACATATGCTCTTTCGAATGACTGATCCCCGATAACGATTCATTCTTTAGGAAATTTTAATATTGTTAACCCGCTAGCCTTTATAAGAATATTGCATAATGTTTTTTAAAACTTTAAACAAAATTTGCATTAAATTTGTTCAAATTTTGTCCTCAATAATGGATTTTTTCCTAAAAATTGAATAAATAAATAATATATGTGTATGATGGATAAAATAATGTGGGCAGCTTTCATACTCGTATAAAATGAACTATAAGCAGAAATGAAAAAAAAAAATAAAAAAATAACCAACCGACATCGTGATTTGAACCCAATACCTTCGTGTTATCAAACTTGATCTTTATCACTGGGCTGCTGATAATTGTTATAGTACTTACTAATTTAAATCTATTTTACAAATGATCTGAAAATTTTTACAATTATTCAATTATATTCAATGAACAATATGTTTGCTGATAATAGCGATGAATTTGATATTAACAATATATACGTAAGTTTCTTTTTGCTCATTTAAATTTTTTTGTTAAATTTAAGTTCAGCAATATTACCAGTAAAAATACAGTTTATTAAATAAGATCAAATAATTCACGATTAATTCTAACAATATTCAGATTACATGTAATATAAAATAAATAATCGTATATATCGTATGTCATAAGTAGCAAAATGGTAAAGTACAAGCCTGCCAACACGAAGATCTCTGGTTTAAGACTAGGTTAGATCGATTATTTTCTTTTACTTTTTTTTATTTTTCCTATATAGTTCATCTTTTATGGAATCTCTATATAGTCCATATGCTCACATCCATAATATACACGTATTTTTTATTCATTCAATTTTTAGGAGCATGTCGATTATAGAGTACAAAATTTGTACTGATTTCGTGCAAATTTTCTATAAAATTTGTACAAACCTTACGGAATATTCGTACCGAATTCGTACAACTTTTGTTTGAATATTGTACAAGATTTGTACAAATTTTGTATATATTCTTCTAAAAATTTCATACATATTCTCTATTATGTAAAAAATTTGTATAGTTATTTTCAGTAGGGACTATCCATACTACTGTAATCATTTACTTCACGTCAATTATGTTGATAAATCAAATAAAGATTATCAATGTTGAAATATTAATTATCCACAGAATGAAGTTTGTTTTAATTTTTATAATAATTGAAGTACATGTTAAAATAATAGTTATTAACTTATACGTATTGATTGAATATAATAATAGAACTGCCGAATAAAAAAACGTTTACATCGAATTGCTGTTCTTATTAAGAAAAAGTTACAAAAGAGAAAAAAATTCAACAAACAATTGCAAGTATCACTCGAAAAATTTTTATTTATTACTGTTATCGAGATATCTAAGAAACTGATAAATACCGTGAAACATTATTTGCATAAATTTCTAATTTCATGTTAAAATAATTTGGTATTAAGCCATTATTAAGTACTAAAATGTATGATAAATAATTTATATAAAAATTTTTAGAATTGGTAGTAAATTTTCTTCGACTATATATAATAATTTTGCAATTGACTCGGAATTAAACTACTTCATTATCGTCAAACTTATAAAAGACCTATAAAATTAAAATCATAATCACGTACAGTAATAATCATGATGATATTGAAAATAATGACCGATTGGAACTTTCTCATTATCACAATAATAATCCTTGGATAAATAATATTTTCAGAGATATATCTATATACATCCACTATTATTTTAGGAATATGTGATGTTAGAAATAATTAACATTATCTATAATGCTTATTAATACTATGTATAAGTAATTGATGTATATTAAATCGCACAAATATGAAAAATGTTAAAGAAACAACGAAAAGGAAATAGGAACAAGCGCATGCGTTAGCTACTACTGAAAGTGTTCCAATTTTTGACGTTTCTCTGAACATGTAGTCTCAACCTAGCTGGGGTAATAGTGTGAAAGTCGACGTTCTGCAAAATTGATAGTTTTATGCAAAATTTACATTTTTAATAAAAATTTGATATAAACTAAAAAAAATATTCAAATGGTCAACTTATATATTGTTAAAAATAATAACAATAACAGCAAGTAATAAATAGATGAGATTAATGATTGCTTCTTCTGAAAGAAAAATTTACGTATGGGGTGGACCTCGAGCAAGTTTCACGTGTGTATTAAATTACATCCAGTCCATAGACAGGACTTACAGTTAAGTAAGAAACAATCTTATCAATTATATATACTAGAAATAGAATGGGTTGTAAGCTGAGTAAGCTTGCTACCTCGGCAATATCACAGGCACAAGCTACTGGAAACTCAAACCGCGACAGTCCACCTCCACCTCCAAAAACAGACCCCAGACTTCCTCTCACTGCAAGACAAAAGTATTTATTAACAGCAAGTTGGAAAGCTATTGTCAAAGCGATGGAGCCGACTGGCATCTACATGTTTGTCAAGTAAGCTTAATAGTTTTTATTTTTATTTTCTTTATGGCGTATTTTAATAAACAGTCTAATAATTTTTAATTGTTTAATTTTGTTCATTCGCAATTATAGTTATACAAAGAGATAATATAGATTACTGTATTGATAATTTAATATCCAGTCTGTTTCGTTAATTTAATTATGTAGCAAATGATAGAATAATAATTAATTATCACTATAATTAACAAAATCCTTAGATTATTACGGCATTTAGCAAATTAATTTATCATGAAACAACGCATACTAAAATATTGTACTGTGATTATATATATAGTGTTTATATTTTAATAGTATAGTTATTATATCACAATAATTATTAATATGAATAATATTAATCATATTAATATAAGTCGAGTAAGGGTAGTAATAGTTATAAATATCGATAAAAAAGAAATTTTCTTGCTCTATTGTATTCGTTTATTTAGCAAGTATTCTGTCTGAAGTTTTTAGTTAGACTATCGAATAATAGTGAAAATATGCAATTTTTATTTATAATAATGAAGCAAAAAATAATTTCTTATTTTGTTTTATCAGTTTCAGTGTAACACTATAAAGTATTCATAACATTTTTATGAATTATAGTATATTTTTTTAATTAGCACATAAATATTCATTTTTCAAATGATACAATCAAAATCATAATATTGACAAAATCAAGTATAGGCGTGTTCAATGTAATAAAATTTTTTTCTAATCTAAATAGTTTGTAGAGCTAAATATTAACATTGAATGTTATCCTATTCAAACGAATTTAATACATGATTTTTTCAGGTACTTTAATTCAACTTAAAAAAAAGCAGAACTATCAGTAATTTAACTGGTTAGAATTCAAGTAACTACACGACGTCCAATATAGGATATATTTAGAAATTTTTTAAACTTGATTATCAATAGTTTATTGTACTTTTTGCTGTAATTATATATATATATATATATATATAACCATAATTTTTTGACTACTTTCTTTTAAAGACAAATGATGAAGAATCGATTACTTAATGCCGTAAAGCTATATTACCATGTTTAATTTACCTAAATTGTCCTATACTGTCCTCAAATTTTATTATTTATATTTTTCTATCTTATAGAAACTAATGTTTCTCTTGTCTGGACGAATACTAATAGAATGAGAGCTAGCGGGTGATTTAAAGATAAATTGATTGTAGGACGGTCGCAAAATTAGTTACACTCTATAAATTATGTATAGGTTGATAAGTCCTACTATCATTTATATATAGAGTGATCAATCCTACAATATATATAGGTTAATCCACGACAAACAGATAATGGCTTTGCCCAAGATTGTAGATCACCAAAAAATCGTGGATGGACTAAAAATTTTCGTCTTACACTCTAGTTTCTTTTACAATGTGGCAATTTTGAAAAATCTATGGTTCCAAAATGGCGGCTCAAACCTGGAGATTTCATAGAAAATTCGAAAAAATCAATTTTAATTCATTTAATTGTGATAAAAATATGAAGCCTCACTATGCTATGTGACGAGTTCAAAACAAACTAAACACATTAACTTAGTCTTAATACAAAATGAATATGTTGATGAATATGAGAATAATAGACCTTGTAGACAAAAAATGATAAAAATTTCACATTGAAATTCCACTAAGTATGGACTAAAAATTTATCTGCTCTTATACGCAGTCAAATTACTTGACATACAGAAAAAAATTATCTTTGTGAACGTTGTCTTCACTATGTTACTAACGAGGAAAATTTGAAATTTCACGAAGTTGACTTTTCGAAAATAAATATATGTCAAATTAATCTATCTGACGATGCCACTTTCAAATTCAAAAATTATAAACGTAAAGAGGAGGTTTCATTTGTCATATACGTAGATATTGAATGTTTGTTGGAACGTGTGGAGATTCGAATAGAAAACATAGTTTTGCGAGATACGCTTTTCAAGATCAGGAAGGCTTTAGTGTACGATTATATGTAAAATGTCGTTATGACAATAGTAAGTCTATGTATAAATCTTATAAAAAAGATTCCAATGAAGGCGAATCGACAGCATTATAGTTTATCAAAAAATTGAAATTTACTAGCTCAATTACCAGAAGTGTGTAACAATGCTGTAGAAATGGATTTGTCGTTTATTAATTAATAAACATGTATTCATAACAGCAAGAAAATGTCATATTTATAATAAACATTTCCAAGAGAAAGAAAATAGAGTTCGCGATCACTGCCATTGAATACGGCAATCTAGAGGTGTACCTCACAGTTGTATCAGTTTGAATTATAAAAATGCTGCTTTTATACCAATAGTATTTCATAACTTAATAGGCTATGATTCATTTTATTATAACAGAAATTGCTACTAATCCAGAATTTAAGGGAAAAATCTCTGTTTTCGCGGAAAACAAGGAGCGCTACATATCTTTCACAAAAGAAGTTACAAACAGTCCGATTAGCTTTCGATTTATGCCTTCATCTCTAATAAGTTGGCGTCTTACTTACCCCAGCTGGATATAATACAGCGAGAATTTGAGAAAGATAATTTTATTATAGAGCAATTTATTTTACTTAAAAAGGAAGGAGTTTTTCCATACGAATATGTTCAAAATTAAAATAGCCTAACTGAGACTGAATTGCCTTCCATTGAAAACTGATAGTTAATTGACAGACAGTGATATTTTCTCTGAAAACTATGAGGATGCATAAAACGTTTGGAATATTTTTGACACCATTTGGAAAAAGATAGATTTAAGACTATATTCTGATATCTATTTGTAGATGGATGTGCTTTTGCTAGCTGCTGTTTATGAAAATTTTCGCACAGACTATAAGAATGCATATGAGTTCAATCCCGCATATTATTACACTACCCCTGAATTAACGTGAGATGCAATGTTAAAATGCACAAATGTTACGCTTTAACTGTTAACAGACGTAGATATGGTATAATTCATTCAAAAAGGTGTTCGCGAAGGTATTAGTCAATGCTGCAATAGACTTTCAAAGCCAATAATAAATAATAGGAGAACAATTCAGTGAGGATCAGTTGTAAAATTTTAATATATTATCACGTGAATAACTTTTACGGTTGGGCTATGACTCAATTTCTATCATATGAGGAATTTTTTCAATGTCACTAATGAGAGTGACGTTGGCTATATTTTAGAAGTAGATCTACAGTATCCGCAAGAGCTATATGATTATCATAAAAATCTTTCTCTATGTTCTGAATATGCTAAATTGCCAAAACAGGAAAAACTTTTTACAACGTTTTATGATAAAGAACGATACATTATTCATTATAGAGCGTTAAAAAGAACTCTTAAATATAAATTCAAACTTGAAAAGAAACGTAGAGCACTAGAAATCAAACAAAAACTATGGTTCAAACCTTACGTAGATTTAAATATAGAGAAAATATGAAAGCTAAGAATAAATTTGAAAAATTATTTTACAAGATTATGATTAATGCAGTATATGGCAAAACGATAGAAGAAAGGAAATAAAAAGATGTCCAACTAGTTAATCAGTGGGATGGTTGATATGGCGATGAAGCATGAATTGTACGGTATAATTTTCATAGTAGTTCCGTCATATTTTATGAAAGTTGAACAGCAGTTTAATTATCGTGGACAACTATCAGTATTAGAAAATACATATACATTGGACTATGAGTACTAAATCTTTTCAAGGTATTCCAGGTACATCCATATAGATTTAACGAAGATCTGTAGATTCAAGACAAAATTCAGGTGGATTTCCAAGTGGATTTCTAGGTGGATTTCCAGGTGAATTTATACTACACAACCAGATGGATTTCGTACGTTCTATTAAACTAAAAATATTTATAAAAACCACATCTTATGTAACATTATTATTTTCAATATATTACTGCTCTCACAATAATGCTAATACAAAAAAAATATTGATCCGAACGTGGCTTAAAACCATGCTTGCTCATTAATCAGATTCTCTACCGCCTAAGCTGTGTTCTCATCTTGGTTTTAAAACCATCTTACATCAACATAGTTTATCGATTGGAGTAATTTGATAACTCTAGAGCATGTCATTATCTCAGATTTACATGAAAGTTGATAGATAAACAATTATAAATATTTTTTTGCTTATTCTCATTCTAATTAACGCGTGTTTATTCCAATAACTAGTTTTATTTTGGCAAGATGACATTAACATCAAACACATTTTCAATGATCACTTCAACTCAGATATGCCTTTCGAACGATTTAAGGAAATTAATTCAAAATATTGAAAAGATGATAATCTTGGATTTTTAGTTATCAACAGAGCTAGATCAAAAAATCATGGAACATATAAAAAAGGATTTGATCCTTTTGCTATAAATATCATAGACTGAGTGAACGAGCGTTATTTCTCTTTCATTAATTCATATGTCAAGAACAACAATAACATGGCTAATTTTGAACAAGAAAGGATAGTACTTCAACGACTAACTGAGGCTTATGGTGTACTCAGACGTAAATATCAGTTATTAAGACGTGGAAAAGAAAATTTAGATAAGACTCTGAATGAAACATTTAAACAAGTTAATGATCCAATGAAGAAACTTTTAGAGACAGTTACTGAAAAAACTGATACTACTACAACTATTATTGAAAAGCTATCGAAAAAGAATAGAATCAACTTTGATAAAATATTCAAGTCAAAAGCAGACAGTTCTAAAATACCTACATACTAGAATAGTACAATCCATGAGTTTGATACTACCGTTCAACAGTTAGATACGACATTTCAATCTGCTACTGATGGTGCTGATGTACTGTTAATGAACTTGATAAGTTGATGATGTTGATGAATCTATAGATACTACTTCATATTTAGATAAAACTTATCTTATCACAGCAGCTCGTTGATTCAATTTTAGGAAACTACGAGGTCTGTTCAAAAAGTATCGCGAATCTTATATGTTTTCAAAAATTATTTATTTAGTCATGAATATCTATTTTATTTCCTTC